AAACGGGTTAATATCTTTACTAACTCAAAGTATGCTTTTGGGGTATTGCATGCTCACGCTGGTTTGTGGAAGCAAAGGGGAATGCTAACAGCCCAAGGTTCTCCGGTTAAGCATGGGTCTCAAATTCTCCGGCTGTTAGAAGCGGTACAATTCCCCTCAGCAGTAGCAGTGGTACAGTGCAAAGCCCATCAAAAAAAAAATCAAGATGTAACCAAGGGCAGTGCCAGAGCAGAGAGGGAAGCCAAGCGTGCTGCTACCCTAAAATCACCAATAGAGGAGAATGCCCAAATGCATGCCCTCATCCCATCAGTAGGTGAGCTTGCAGCTCCTCAGTACTCCCATAATGACGGAAACCTGGCTGACAGTCTCAGTCTCCAGAAAAAGGAGGGATGGCTTTATTCCATAGAGGAAAAAATCCTCCTGCCCAAGGGCCTGATTCGACCAGTGTTGCAGAAACTGCATCAGACCACACACGCAGGCAGAGAGGCTCTAACCGAGCTTATAAATAAATATTTTCTAACCTCTAGACTTAAACCCCTAGCATCACAGGTACAGGCTGAATGTTTAATCTGCCAAAAGAACAACCCTCGACCAGGAGTAGCAGTGTTACCAGCCACCCTGGAACCTACCCCAGGCCCAGGATTGGTGTAGCAAATAGACTTTACTGAGTTTCCCAGGACCCAAGGATACAGGTACCTCCTTGTCTTGGTGAATCAATTCAGTAGATGGCCTGAGGCCTTCCCATGTCATAACAACACTGCCAAGACAGTGGCTCTTAAGTTTGTTAAGAAAATCATTCCTCGCTTCGGCCTCCCCCAGTGAATGAAATCTAATAATGAAACACACTTCACATCTCAAGTTGTTCAAAAGATATCAAGTGTTCTGCAAATCCCCTGGAAGCTCCACACACCATGGCGACCACAAGCCAGTGGAGTAGTGGAACGCACAAATCAGACACTCAAGCGACACCTCTCAAAGGTCTGTCAGGAGGCCTCTCTTAGGTGGCCTGATGCTTTGCCCCTTGTGTTACTCCGCATTCGTGCTCTCCCCAAGGGTAGGTTAGGGCTTAGTCCCTTCAAAATTATGTTTAAAAGGGCATGGCCTCTGAATGGTACACTGGTTCTGGCAGGGGAGTGGGAGATGGGGTGTGGTTTTTTGTCTCAGTACATGTGCTCTCTGTCTGCTGTTCTTTCTTCTCTTCACAGATACACCAAAGATTCACAGCCTCTTCTGCTGGATACCCCGGTCCATTCCCTGCAGCCTGGTGACTCTGTTCTCGTGCGGACCTGAAAGGACAAGCCTCTCCAAGAGAAGTGGAAAGGACCCCACATCGTCCTGCTTGTTTCCCACACAGCGGCAAAGGTCAAAGGACACAAGAACTGGTTTCATCACGCTCGACTGAAAGCAGTACCCGCTCCTGAACAGTGGACTGTCCAGCCTGCTAAAAAAACTGCTAATGACAATTTGGGACTTAAGCTGTTATTCAAAAGACAGAAGCACTCCTTCTGTTACCTAATGTTTCATCCACATCGCATGCAGGATGGGAAGCCATCCCTGCAAATATGGCTATCAATACCTATGAGGCCCTGAAAATTGCCTTTGCCCGTGAGTTCAATCTCTCCAACTGTTGGATATGTGCCCAGACTCCCCACCATTCAGCGGGATTGCCCTGGAGAGTAGTTTCCCAAAATTGGTCAGACTATTGTCAAAGGCGAATGGTTACCAGCAGTAGCACCTCTGACAATTTAAGTTTGCAATCTAACTGTACTGCAAAAGCTCCTTATAGCCTACACAATGGCTCTTGGAATTCCCACTATAGTAGCACTCTTAAGCCCCAGCCTATTCGTTTACGTTCTCCACCCATTGGTCTCATATGTTATCAGCAAGCCAGTACAAGTAATCATACCTGGTTTGCAGGCATTAGTAAGTGTAAATTTTATATTGGTCCTGGTATAAGGCTCACTGTTCCTTTACTAAATGCCACCGGTTGGCAAACCGGTGCTGCATTCTTTGCCCTTTCTCCACAAGCCACCCTACGGGACCTACAAGGTACCAATAAAAAGGCTAGTTATGGTAAAGCATTCTGGGTATATGGTAATAGTGCCTATAAATGGCTTCCTCGTGGTTGGCATGGTACCTGTTACAAAGGCTATCTCGCTCCTCCCCTCCATGTTCTCACCAAGGCTCCCTCAGGTCGCCCTAGGTACTATCGGTCCCTAAAAGCTACCATTAAACCCATTGGTAAAAAAGACAGGTTTGGAATAATATCCCTCCCTTCCTATGGGGTGGGACGGCTAACCCAACTCTACAGAAGACTGTCTACATTTCTCACTCAGCTTGCCAATGATACCCTGGCCATAAAAAAACGCATAAGTGCTGAGCTGTACCAGCTTCGACTGCTGGCTTTGCAAAACCGCCAGGCCCTAAATTGTGTTAGCTTCAAAAGTATGTGCCCTTATTAAAAAAAAATGTTGTACCTATGTCCCAAAGTTTTCACAAAATATTAACAAGTATATCTTGTCGGCCAAACAGGCCTTAAATCAGTAAAAGGCCCAAAAGGGGAACCCAGTATTTTAAATTCCCTTTGGGGTTAAAATACCTAGTTTAGGGAAACTAGGGGGACTAGGGAAAAGCATTGTTCGCATCTTGCTCACAGGTGTGGTAATATGTTTTGTCCTTTTCCTTTTGCTCATTTGCTGTAAAGTGCTCATATGTAAAATATGTACCTCCCATTCCCCAAAAGTCCCCTTATACCCTCTCATTAATAATCCTAATTGCATGAAGCTTAATCGCATTTTATCTTTAAAGTATAAAAAAACTCTAACAAAGATTTGTTAAGTGTTCTCAAAAAAAAATTGTTGGTGTCACTAGGCATAGCTACCAGGTAACTCGAAAAAGTAAAAAGCCAAAAGTGCCAATAAAGCTCTTCTGCTCTGGGCCTGAACCACAAAACTCCATCTTGTGAACTCTCACTTACTTCTGTGCTAACTACTTACATGCTAAAGCAAAAATGTAAGGGTCAGCTTTTCTAGCAGACAGCTGTTTTGCTCACTCACAAACGCTGTAGTAATAAAACAAGGAAAAACTGCTGTAAACAGGCCTTGCAAGGCCAAAAAATAAGCAGGCAAAAAAAAGTTTCTAACATGCACACTGTGTACCTGCTGTAACTGTTGTACTAAAAAAAAAAAATAAACTAAACAGAGGCTTGCACAAAAACTGCTTAAAATATAAAAAAAAATTGTTTGTATTTGTTGCACTTAATTTAAAACATGGTGGTCTCCTCATGCCTTTTCAAAGCTCTAAAATAAACTTGGCTTGCTTTCTCCCCTCGGTGTCTTTATTGGTGCCAAGCACACTGGGCAACAAACCTCGCTGTTTGCCTCCTCGGGCCCTTTGGGCTGGCAACAATGGGAATATTAGTTTAGCAGTCTGCACACTAATGAGAGGTATACGGGTAACAAACAATAATAATGATACTTAGCTCTTAATTACCGCTTTTCATCAGTAGATCTCAAAGCACTTCACAAAGGAGGTCAGTAGCATTACCCCCATTTTACATATGTGGAAACTGAGGTACAGAGTGATGAAGTGACTTGCCCAATCACCCAGTGGGCCAGTGGCAGGAATAGAACTCAGTCTCTGAGTTACAGTCCTCTATCCACTAGTCAACACTGCCTCAAGTACAGTTAGAAGAGATAAAGAACTTCAATCTCCTGGACATATCTGAAATATGGGGAGCTGGTTAGTGTGACTACCACGCCAGCAGAGAGAGAGAGAGTGTAAGGAAAAATGGAGGTGGAATAATAATACAAAATTATATAATTATACTAGAGAAGTCAACATTATATAGAACATCTGCTCTGGGACATTGCATGAGCATCTGCTGTGGGTGAACTCTTTGGCATCTGAGTATGGCCAGCACCAGAGTGTGTGCACGCTTGCAGTTGTTGGTGAGATTAAGTCTTTTCCAATGCTAATGAATTAGGAGGACTCACAGTTTATTGGGCAAACTCCGTGTTTCTTGCTCTGCTCTCTCATTGCCTTTCAAGATGACCAATTTTTGAGCAACTGGAAAACTGCAGGGGCAGCATCTCAATTCTTTTCTTTTCACAATGAAAGCCCCTCTTGCATCATCAGGGGTGCCAGGGGCACCCAGCTTCAGCAGAACATCTACCAAAGACTATAGCCCAGACTGTACTCTATTGGGTTCAAATGGAGTCTGTCCTCAAACATATTCCTGGGGCAGGCATCTCAGGAAGGGCTTTTCCTCACTACTTGGAGACCAGAGGCAGAGGCAGGGGCTGGAGCAAGGCTATGGTGGTGTGATAAATTAAATACACAATGTTTTTCATTCAGCTGTCCTAGGTATGCTAGAGAAAAGGAAAGCCAGCCCCTGCCCCTACCATGTACAGCAGCCAGGTCTGTGCTATTTGGGGAGGTTTAAATGCCCCAATGGGAGGTGGGTGCCTCACTTGTGTGATGACTGTGCTCTCTGGCTACAAACAGCTATTGATACAGCTAAAGGGCCAGAAGCTGGTGCTCAAGAATAGGTTTCACGGACCTTGGGCTTTCAGCACCAGCAAACCCACTGTCACTATGCACTGCAAAAGGCTTGCCCTGTGCAGATCTTTCTACCCACTTTTAACCACTCCCTGAGGCACCTTTGATCATTTTGGCAGCCTATATAGGATGGGATTTAAAAGGCACCTGAGTCCCACTGATTCTCAATGGCACTTCTGCTCCTTAGCCAGCTCAGTGCTTTTGACAATCCAGCCCCAAGACCCAGCCATACAGGGCCGGCTCTAGGATTTTTGCCGCCCAAAGCAAAAACAATTTTGGCCGCCCCCCCGCCCTTATTTAATTACCCCACCCCCGGCCCCGCCTCAACTCCGCCCCTTCCCCAAATCCCCAGCCCTGCCTCCTCCCCCCAGGCTCTCAAGCCTAGGAGGGAGTGGGAGAAGCGGTGCCACGCCGC